CATATCACATAACATGGGCATTATCATTTATGTTTGTCATGTATTCATACATTCATATCACATAAGCATATAATCTTATAGATCACTTTCACATAGCTTATATCATACTTTCATGTAATCACACATCTCTTGTCACATGTCTTGTATCTTATAATCACGTAATCATATGACATATTATCACATAGCTCATAGTCACATGGTTTATCTCATAGGAATCTATTCACATATTTTATAATCACATAGTTTATACCATTTCACACATAGTCACATATATCAATATTATTTAGCTTATTTCACTTTTCATATATTCTCATAGTTCATAATCACATGGTTTATATCATAGTCACATAACATGTATTCATACATATCATATAACATATACAATAACATATAACACATATACTCATATCAAACACATACTTATATTCATGAGTTCATGCAGTCTATTATAGGAAATAGACTCTTCTCAAGTCTTATTTCCATTAAACATCATATACTAACTAGTATGCACTCACCTTAGCCTCACTAGTCCAAATCATGCACTCTTTCTTGCTTGATCTTATCTTGTTGATTTATCAGATACTTGCTTCCGATCGATATCTACACAATTATATGACTTATATGAATATCGAAGTTCGAATCACTTATAACCAATCAATATAACGTAGGTTGAAAGAACCACTTAATTTAGCATTTCAAGCTTAATAGTATCAGATCTCTTACTATAGTACTGATACTACCCTCTTATGGTATCGATACCCCCTAAGTACCGATACCATTTTGATATTATGCTTTTATAACTCAATAATGGTTTCGATACTAAACACTTGGTATCGATACCCCTTAAACCAATACTGATAACACTCTTTAGATATCGATACTTCTTAAAGATTTCATCGGAATATATTTTATGGTATCGATATTGTTCCTTCAGTATCGATACCCCAAGCTCAAAATCTACTCAATATGCTTTGGAAGTATCGATATTGGAATAACAATATCGATACCCCATGCCATAACTTATTTATTTTAACCCAAAAATCAACTAAACTCACTTAAATCTTCTACTACCTTTAAACTTAACTAAATTAGTCAAATCATCTTATATCCCTATAACACATCATCGTCTTCAATATCGAATCATAATTCTTGAAACTAAAAATCTTACCAATTTATCAACATGTTACAAATTCATTTCTAACACTTCAAATTTCTCATTATATCTGATGACAAGACAAATTTAACTTCAAAATCCATTTACTCATTCTTTTTCAATAATTCACTCAAAAACTCATTTTACTTAATCCCTCATAACTTGTAAATCTTTTAGTTTCTAACTCTCTTTAAGCTTAGCTTTCCTAATGCTCCAAGAATCAAAATCAACTTTAAAATGAAAGGAATAACCAACTTGAGACTAACTTACCTTTAATCAAGCCTTCACGGTGGAAGAAGAAGGAGAAGCTAAACTTCCAGAGTTCTCTGATATTTTCTTCTTCCCACTTACACGTGTATATATATAATATCACTATAAGTTTTTAATTATTTTCCTACCAAATGACCATTATACCCTTTCCACTTTCAAACTTTTCAATTAAATCCAACATCAAAATTCTCCAATTAAGTCCCTGAACTTTTTAATTTTTCCTAAGTTGATCACCAAATTTTAAAAAAAAAATCGTTTTTGTCACTAACCCGGATTTTTGGATGTTACACTGTGTAAGGCAAATATGCATTTTGTTATTTATATTTTCCAGAAGACGCGTCTTTACTTACATAATATGAGGTTTCATAGATTACTTAAGATAAAGGTCAAAATGAAAATGAGATAAAATAGTATACCAAAAAAAACACGAATTTTATGTAAAATGAAGAAATAACCATGATTCGTATAAAAAATATACATTAGCATTAAAACAAACTGAGCAGTAAGAGCGTGTGTTCAAATTTTATATTCAATGTTTATAACGTGTCTTTGATATTTGAAAACTAGTAATTTTGGTCATGAAATTCTTAGATCTTACATTATTTAAATATTGATTTGTTCAATTGTTTAAATAGTCTTTTAGAGTTCATCAAGTGACCTTAGTAGTTAAGAAGAGTGTTATTCTCCCTAGAGGTTTTGGTTTCGAGAAACTACATATGTTGGGTGCATGAATTGTAAATGACTAAGAAAGATTATGAACATATATTGTCTTATACAGTGACGAATCCATAAATATTTTTGAGAGTAAGCACATATATCTTAACAATATTTTTTTAAATGGGATAAGTGCAAATAAAAATCAATGAGAATAATGTCACTAAAACAAATAACTAATAAAAAAAGCTCAAATTTCAGGGTGGATACCGTTAGTAAAATAAGTAACTAATCGAAGAAAACTCAGAACTCAGGGTGGGAATGAAAAATTTCAGGATGGACACTATCAATAAAATGATTAAGTAATTGAAGAAAATTCAAATTTCAAGGTGGGCACATACCTACTTTGACCAAGTTGTTGATCTGTCACTAATCTTATAGTCATCATAAACTATTTCTAAAAGATATACAATATTTCGAACGCACATTCATTAAATGACTAAAAACATGATCTATACATATCATTGTTATTACTTGGCTTGAACTTGTATTAACATATATTTTTTATATGTATCATACATATTTATATATAACTTTTTTTCTTTTTTTCTTTTACAAATTTTGACAACCATGTTGCCCTGTAAGATACGACTATCGTGACATTTTTTTATTTTATTATAAATAAATTATATTATTTTAAAAATAATTTTAAGGTGTTATTTCGTTGTATAATTAAAATAATTATTATTTAAGTAAATTCAACATGTTTATAACATGTATTTGGGATTAGATATTTATACAAATTATAATAGATATGATTATTTATGTGTATTATATATCATATTTATTTATATAAAACAATTTGGTACATGATATTTAGTTAATATATAATTTTATAATAAGTAATAGGATATGTTATTATAAATATAAATACTAGCTTATATTAAATTTATATTGATTTTGCTACCCGAAAGAAATCTAAAAGAAAATTATATTATAACGAAAATATGTTTTAAGAAATCACTGCAGAAAATTGCTCGAAATCACTATTTTGTATTTCAAGTTTATTATGATTTTATATCTTAATATTATTTTCAACAAAATAATATATTTTATTATTCCTTTAGTTTTGAATTATTTGTCCTTATCCATGATTTTGTCGTCCTTTGGTTCATCTTTCTTTCAATTTTTAACTTGTATTGTTGTACTATTTTTGTCTTCTATTATATTCTCTTTTCCCTTTGCAAGTTCAATAAGAGGAATTCTTAACGAGACCCAAAAATAATAATTGATTCAATAATATTCACACTTTTTATTTGGAAAAATCTCTTTCAACAACATCTTCAATTTATTTATTTGATTTTTTTCTCTCTTGGATATTATGTGTTGATATTTGAAAGGATTATATAGTGTTTTGCCCGACTTAAAAAATTTACATGGACCGAACCCTACAATCGGAGAGCATGAGATTAGTGCACGTACTCTCAATCGAGTGTTTAAAGGGGAGCTTGAAGGCCGACGAATGAGCTGGAGATACGCTCCAAACCGACGATCAAGATTTAACTGAAAAACTTAAGAGAAAATAACACTTTTATTAATAGAAAAAATAATTACAATACTACATACTTACCCTACGAAATTTATCTTCTTTCTTTACCTCTCAGGTTTCTCACTCACTCACTTACTCACGCTTTTAGCACTATTTTCCATCTTTTTCACTCTTACAACTATGGTAAAACTCACCTTTATTTATAGCTTTCGGTAATTATTGGATTGTTGACATATGTTAATATCTTAGCAATTTAACATTACAAATATCTAGATTATTCAATAGATAATTCTAGATAGGCTTCATTATAGAATAATTGTTCAAACTATACCACTTTTCAAAAATTTGTGACTAAACTATTTTTTGAATGATTCAAGTGTCTAACGTTACAAACGTTATTATTTTAGGTGTCCGAGATGTAGCGGCCGTTAAAAAATCTTGTTAAGTGACACATATCACATTTTTAGAATTTAATTTTTTTTAAAAAATAAAATTTAAAAAAAAAATATTATTCCTCAACATGTGTCCCTTTTTCCCTCTCCTGCTTTTCCATGATCAAACGGCCAAAGGGAAAATGATCGATCAAACGACCGACCAAATGGCCAAATAGTTGACTACTGTAGTCGGATAAAAGATGAAGTACTATGATCGAACAAATAAATTCAAAGGATTAGGGGTTAGGTGTTGAAGTGTAGAAATTTTTGAATTTTGAGTTTTGAGATGATAACAAGGGTTACGACATGTCAATGGGTGGTCGACAATGTATGTGTGGTCTGTAGTCAATAGATGGGTGGCCGAAGATGATCAGCGGTTGGAATAAAAGAGATCAGAATAAGAGATTATAGGTATTTGGATTTTTTATTAAAAATTTAGAGTTTTTTAAATAAATATAATAATTTTTTTTAATTTAAATGAAGTTTTAAAATTTTTTAAAGATGACATATTTCTTTTAACAGTGAAATTTAACTATCATTACATCATGATGGATGGTACCTAAAACATTTGTAACGTTATATATTTAAATCATTTCAAAAATAATTTAGACACTAATTTCTAAAAAATTATAGAATTTGAATATTTATTTTATAATTAAACCTTCTAGATATAATATTAAATATGTACTTTATTTTATAGATACTTTTACGTATCTTCCTTCTATATTATTCTAAAATATTCTTAATATATATAGATTTCCTTAGAATTTTCATTGACTTTAACATACCATCTTTGTCTTCTATAGTCAATTCAATAATATTCCCATCTTTTCTCCTAAAAATTGTCTCTCGACAACTTTCTCAATTCAGTTCTTTGATTTTCTCATCTTGAATATTATGTGTTGATCATCGATAATATATTTGCAAGAATTGTGTAGAGTTTAACCCAACCTAGAAAATGCCCATGGACCGATCTCTACAATCGGAGAGCATGAGATCGCTGCACGTACTCTCGATTGAGTGTCTAAAGGGGAGCTCGAAGGCCGACGAATGGGCCGGAGACATGCTCCAGACCGGCGATATCGTTGAGGAGATTCGTATTGGATCCGGCTCAGGATTGACTCACAAGGCGCCTTTTAAAGGCGGCAAGAGCGGCGTGCAGAGGATCCTTCACAGCTCCTACAAAAACAAGGAGACCTCGATTCTCGTCCGAGTCAGGCGAGGCAACGACCAGTTCGCTCAGCTGCAAGCGTGCATCGTGCCTAATGAGTCCGGCGGGAGAAAGCAGTACATGTTGAGGTCTATATCGGATCCAAATTACGCTGTCGGGTTCTTGGATCGGACTGAGTCCGAGTGCTTCGAGTTGCAAGGTGAGTTAGTATATTTTTTCGCCGCCGAGTCGAGTGATGATTTATTTTCTTTTTGTTTGCACCTTATTTCTGATTCTCCCGTGTTTCTATTCCGTACCGAATGTTGCGTCAGACACGCGTCATAATAAATTCTTTTAATATATTATTATTTATATTTTCAAATAAAATGCCCTTTAGTTCTATTTCAAGGGTTTTTTTCCTGTGATTAAAGTAAGATGATATATATCAAATTTAGAAATGGTTTTATTTGCAAATTGCTTGCAATAAATGTGTTTGCAATTGATGTGAAAACTTTATATTTTAAAATTAAAATTCCAAAAGCAATATGCATAAAATTATAACAAAATTTAAATATCTAAAAATTAAAAAAAATCATTTTATATTAAAAAAATCCTAAAAGTATCTTCAGAAGTCAATTTTTTGGGGTGGTGTATCTGTCAATATCATCCAAGACATAGTTTTCTCGATGAATGATGTATTTTTATGTAAATTGACCTAATTCTTGCCTTTTGCTTCATTACAACCATTAATGCTCGCCTACTTTTCAACTCTAGCTTTTAATTTTTCATGGTTGGCTCTAGTGTTCAGACTGAAAGCATACCAGCTTGAAGAAAGCTTGCTCCCCAACCCAAATAACAAATTGGGTCTTCTCTCTGTCTTGGGTTTTGCAAACCACTGATCAATGGTTCTTTATGGACTTAATGTTGGGTGTAGTTACTTAAAAGTAGTTATTACTTGGTCTAATGCAGTAAGTACAACGTACATCTTTGTCCCATTTCTAAATTGGCTACCATTCTTTACGTCCAAGACATTTTAGGTTAGAAGGCAAACTTATAAAATTTTAGAAGGAAGTGAACCTTTAAAGTTTTAAAAAACGAAAATAGATCATCAATAGAATATACACGAAAGAGATCTAGAATTTCAAGAAGACAACTGCCTTCACATGTCCCTCTCAGTCCATTCCTTTTGGCATCAACGGTGAAAAGGACGTTCTAAATCCTAGTGTGTTAACTCAATGTAGCCTACGAAGTATAGTTGTATAAGCATTAAATAAGCACACATACTTTGCCTCTATCCTTGTTTAATGCCACTTAAAGGCCACTGTTTTCTACATATCCAGTAATAACTATTGCTGGATTTATACTTCTTAATAGAATAATTAACTGTCTGCTCCTTGGTAATTGGTATTCTTTAATCTCTTCATAGAAGTTCTTCATAAGTGAATGTTCTGCACTGATCCATAATTGGATTCTTTTTCCTTCAGTTTTCCCCTAGTTTCTGATCCGATGTTAAACAATGAGTTTACAGCTTCAAGGAGCTCCAGGATGGTCAGTGAGCTAGAAAGGTCAAGGCTTCAGGATGGATACGTCTCATATCCGTGGGAGAGGAGGATGCAGGAGGTGCTATCAGTTCCCAATTCAAGTGGCTTTCTTTCTATTCTGCTCCTTCCGAAGGCTTCGGATCGATTGGCCTCTCGATACAACGACTTGGAGGATACCCTTGCTCGAGCAAACGCTTGGCTTACTGCATCTCAGGCCTCAGGGGTCCCCATTGTTTTCATGAATATCCAGACTGAATCCTTGCTCACTAAGGTACCATGCCAAAGCCTTAATCTTCAATTGAAGTATTTGGAAATTGTTCACCACTGATGTTAGCTGGCGACCATTTTAGACCCTAGGACAGGCTAAATGGTTCATTTTCATCTGATTATTGGAACTATTTCTCTGTAATTTTTTTGAGCAGATCTCTGGAGAAACTGCCTCAGCTACTGTGAGTGCTGGGTCATTATCCGATTTATCAAACCTAGCCAATGCAAGTCTATATGGTTTTGAGGATTACCATGGGGTTGACATCGGAGTCGTTCGGGCGGTTCGCCTATGGTATGCCCCTCTTGCGGAAGAAATCGCGATCGAGATCAAATTAAAAGAAGACGATATAAAGCTCGGGTTCGCCATTAGCCGCACAGAAGAGGTATGCCATGCCATCTGATTCTCCATGATTGTCAATTTGACAGCATTTGCTTATACATTGTTTTCTCTTTAACAACAGGGATTTGTCTACATATCATCCGTCATCGATGGCGACGAAAACGTGCCCTCGACGAGATCAGGACTCGCCACTCTCTACAGAGAAGCAATGAACGCATCCAGGCTGCTGGTAGTCTCAAGACTATCAAACCAGAAGGTTCTTCCATGGATGGTTTCGTCAACCGGAGCTGTCCGATGCTTCGATACCGTCTCCGTAAGTCAAAAGCTCTCACTACACCGGCATGCCAATATGCCGATTCTAATGCACGTCTTCTTGTGGGATCAATCGTTGGTTTCCAGAGGTTTTAGCAGTGTCAGGCAGTGGTTTCCCTCTACATCTGCGTTACCATTGCCCCCTGAGGTTAGATTAGCACACCAACCTAACGACAATCAAATGCTGCCTTTGCCACCTGATGAACCACATGGAAGCATACCCTTAAGCGAGCAGCCGGACCACCGGTTACAGAGGGACACTGCCGGGGAGGTGTCGTTCAGATTTCATGATTTTTCACTTGCTAACAACTGGGTATAATTTTTCATTCCCTGCTTCACTGTGTATATAGCAGAAACTTTTACCAGTAGAGGAGTTCGTTGATCGGATCTAGTTACATTATGTTAGGCAGCTTGATCTTGAAAATAAACACGTAGATAGTTATAGTTCAGAGTTCAGGCACCATAGTCAGAAACTGATAGATGGGCTTATATATATATATATATATATATATTTATATTTATCGTTTGGTGTGTATAGCATACAGGAGCTTTGGGGCATTGAGTGGGATTCTTTTGGCCAAAACTGAGTGGCTGTTTGTTTTTTTTTTTTGTATGTTTTGCTATTTTGAATAACTTTTTTTTGCATGTATGGTATTTGTTTAGTATAGTATTAACAAAACTCTATTTATGTGACAATATACTTAATAAAAATAATAAATAAATTGGGAAAAAATATGCAAATAACCCTCCGATTATAGGGTGATTTTTTGTTTAGTCTTCACATTATGAAAAGTTACAAAATGGTCATCCTTTTGAAAGACTAACAAATTGATATACTTTATTAATTTGTTAATAAAATTAATATAATAATATATTTAATTTTAATTTATCTTGATTTTAAAAGTTTAGTTCTTAATATTTTATTTATTTAGTCCGAAGTAGTAGTTCGAGTTGCTCCCGCCGCTGAGGATGAAGACACCGGAGCCCAAGTTGCTCCTATGCCAAACTCGAAGAAGTAGGTGTCAGCACCGACGAGGAAAATGAAGATACCATCCTCGATCTGTCAGTGATTTTCTTTGTGTTTATTTTTACGATTCGAATATTCGTAGACTTATCTAGACTAGAGATTGGAATGCTATGAATATACATAATTTTATTTACCGGGAAGTCGAAGCTGTATCGATTTGATAATGAAACGAATCAATGGAAAGAGAGAGGCGCCGGCACTGTGGAGCTGTTGAAGCAGAAAGAGACTGGAAAAATTCTTCTTGTCATGAGGCAATCTAAGACTCTCAAGATCTGCGCCAACCATCTGGGTATCTTCTCTTCCTCAATTCCCTTTCTGCATATTTTTTTTTCTTTTGGATTTCGTAATGAGTATACAAAAATAAAACTGTGCAGTGTTGCCGATGATGAGGTGGAGCAGCATGCTGAGAATGATAAATCGTGTTTATTGAGTCTTTGATTTACATAAAATTATTGAAGATACTAATTTTTTTATCCATATTATTATTAATATTATTAATATTATTATTATTATTATTACTATTATTATTATTATTATTATTATTAAATATATTAAATACATAATAATAATTACAGACCAATTACAACTGGACCGGCCCAGTTACAAATCAACCAGAACCGGTCCAGATCCAACCAGAAACTCTAAATATTTGGGTTTCCAGTTAGGGTTTCCTAACCCTAATTTAACCAGCCGCCTCAGCTCACAGCCGTTGGATCTGGCAAGATCCAACGGTCCAAATTGCCCCAGATGGAAACCCTAGGGTCTGATACCCTAGGGACACGCGGCCGCCGTTGCTATCTCGCCGCCTCCGCCGTTGCCACGTCCCAACCGAAGACTCCAGAAGATAGAATACCAGCCGTCCACGCTATGGCTACTCGGTGAGTCACCACTGGTAGTCCGGTGACTCACCGAGACCCCATCTTCGGACCGGTCCGACGGCCACACCGGTGGTGGCTATAAAAGCCACCACCCCAACCTGAAAAAAAAAGAGACAGAGAGACACAGAGACAGAAAAAAAAAGGAAAGAAAAAGAAACAACAGAAACAGAGAGAGATACAAAAACTACCAACGATCCCAGTCTACAACAACACAGCAAAAACAAAAACAGAAGGAAAAAGAGAGAAGAGAAGCTTACCAAAGAAGCCTTGACCATCGCCGGAAGCACTAAACATCGCCGGAGAACCGAAAATACCGAAGGTATTTTCATAGATTTACTCCAATTAGGAGTCTTTTTGAGGAAACAAAGGTCGGATTCGGTCTTAGGGTGTTTAGATCTACGTTTTAGATGAATTTGGGGAATTTCCGACCACCGGAGGCGGTGGTCGGCGGCAGAATTCACGGCGGCAGACGGCTGTCGGATTCCCTCCGGTGAGGGAATCTAGAGAGAGGCCAGAGAGAATTCTGGCTCTCTCTCTGCTTGAGAGAGAAAAAAAAAGGAAATGAAATGGCTGGCCCTTCGGGCCAGCCGGTTTGGACCATATATAGTCCTTCCCGAACGACTTCGTTTCGGGAAGGACTATGTGCATAATTATAAAATAGTTAAAACCCGTCCGCAGTCCTCCGAACTTGTAAACTTTACATTTTAGTCACTAAATTAAATTTATAATATTTTTATTTCAGTCTTCGAATTTTAATTTCTTTTATTTTAGTCCTTCATATTAAAATAATATATTTAAGATAAATTACAGATTTAATCCCTTAATTTTAATAAATAATATTTTAATCCCTAGTTTATATTTTTAATTTATTTGATTCTAATATCCGAATTTTAGATAATTTTATTTTAGTCACCAAATAAATAAAATAAGGAAATAACATATTAAATCCCTATAATTTTGATTAATTATGAATTAGATTTTTAATTTTATTTTTATTATAATTTAGTCAGTTATTTTATATGTTTTCATTTATTTTATTGTTTTTAAATATATTGTTTTAGTAGTATTTGTATTTTTATTTTATTATATTGTTAAATATTTTTATATTCATAAATATATAATAAATAGTAATTCTTAAATATTTATTTTTAATATCGAAGAAAAGGACAGTCTTAATACAACTGGATGTCCTATTCTGATATTTTAAAATTAAAAAGTAAACAATATAATTTAAATTAATATTTATCAATATCAAAGAAAAGAGCTGTCTTAAGGCACCTAGAAGTTCTTTTCGGATATTTTTAAATAAATAAATATTTTTTTTATAATTTTGAAATAATAGAATTATAAATTAAATATATTTTTGAATTTTTAAAATTTTAATAATAGAGACAATTTATAATTAAAAAGTACAAATTTTGGGCGTTGTAGGGGTGCTAATCATTCCCTAAACGTAACCGACCACGAATCCCTTTTTATTATTAAAAAGAATGAATTTTTGGTTATAAACGCAGATCAGTTTATTTTTTTAATTGGTGTTTTATTAAAACTCTTTTAAAAAAAATAATTTTTAGGTATTCGACCTACCTGACCCAAAAGGCCGATGGCGACTCCCAAATTATTTTCAAAACCATTTATTCACATCACTTTTCCCGCCAAACAAATAAATTCGTGCCCGGACGAAAACCGGTTACGACAGCTTGGCGACTCCGCTGGGGACACTGGTCAAACTTTTAAAAATCAATTATAAATTGTCTCTATTAATTAAAAAATTAAAAATTTATATATTTAATTTTTAATTCTTTCTTTTCAAATTTTTTATTTATTTATTATTTTTATAATATTTATATGTTTTATTTTATTTGCAAGTATTTTATTTCATTATTTATTTCTCTGTTGAAGGTTTGAACATTTCTCCTCACACACAACACTTGCATTGCATTACATAAAGCTCTATAATTGAGTTGTCCCTTTTAAGTGGGAGTGAAAGCGACGTCTTCGTGAGAATTTATTCTCCGTGTCAGACCTAGCAAGTAACTTTCGGGGTTCATATGCTTTATGTCTTCGTGAGAATTTATTCTCCGTGTCAGGCATAGAGAAATGTATCCCCTCGAATTGAACTCGGTCTACTTTAGTCTGTGATGGACTAGGATTGAGGGTTAGCAGCCTAAGGGGGCACTAACAAGGACAATTCGGGTACCTTGATTCTTAGATCTGAAACCTTACATATAAAAAACTTTAGAAACTTTTCCGATCAGAAGTCATGCCAAAATTTTTGTCCAAAATAGGTGTACACACAGGAGAAATGAATTCTGACTTTCCTGTTAATTTATTTATTGTTTAAATTACATGTTTATTTAAATTATTTAAATTCAGAAAAGCATGTTTAAATAAAGAATATTTATGTAAATGTTATTATTAAATTTTTTTATTATGTAAACTAATTTATTTTCTTTTTGTGTGTTCTTTATTTTTCTGTTTGCATTGCATCATACAGGATAAAAGACATTGATCCTTGTGTTAATTGTCTCATTGGAAAGCCTTCATCTATGGATAAAAAGTGTTCAAGTCAAGTAATTCTAAACTCAGAAGTAAGACAGTGGGCTGAGGATTTACAAAGACAAGAAGGAGATAGTCTGCAGGATGATTATGTATCTGACTTGGCCAGTTATGCTCCAGTTTCACTAAAAAGAAATGATACGCAAGATTTGCGAAGCATTTGGGAAAGTTGGGATTCAAACAAAAAATTGCAGTTTTATCAGACTTATGGAGACATCCCATATTTGCTCTATGTTGAAGTTGATGATGAATTACTCAGAGCCCTAATTCAATTCTGGAATCCAGGGTACACTTGCTTCACTCTCAATAAGGAAGACTTGGTCCCTACTATTGAAGAATACACAACTTTGCTACATATCGAAGAGGCGTTGGAGAATCGAATCTATTCAAAGTCAATTAAAACTCAACCTTTTCGAGTTAAATTAGCAAAGATTGCCGGGGTACGAGAAGAATGGGTAGCAGCCCGTACAAAACAAAAAGGCGAAAGCGAAGGCATTGCTTGGACCAACATCAGAGAACTTATTCAGAGCCATCCAGATATTAAAGTACGATTCGATCTATTTGCTCTGGGTATATATGGTATGGTCATTTTCCCAAAAGTATTGGGATATGTTGAAGCTGCAGTGGTAGACTTGTTTGAACAGCTACCGAAGAAGATTAATCCTGTTTCTGCCATCCTAGCAGAGACCTTCAGATCGTTAAATGCTTGCAGAAGGCTAGGAGGTGGACGATTCTCAGGGTGTACCCAGTTGTTATATGTTTGGATTCGTAGTCATTTTTGGAGGACAGAAAAGGTTTCATACAGACGCTTTAATACGGATTACTCACCATTAAAAGAATTTCTAGAGCAGGAATGGCCGAAAGAAATTAAGAAAGATATGTGGATTAATGCCTTTCGAAATCTGCAAAGCAATGACGTTGTTTGGCGAGCCCCGTGGCAAATCCAAAGGGAATTCTTTTACAGATGTGAAGATTACAACTGGATAATGTTGC